GAGCTGAGTTCACTATTACTACACTTGAGCATGAACTAATGGTGACAAAGAGAGAAGAAGGAAACTGATGATGACTCATATGTGATTAGGATACAGATAAGATCAAACTTCGGGCAGTTTGGGCAGGTTGACCGAGGGCAGTTCGGGCAAGTATTTTTGGGCAGGTATTTCCCATATAAAAGGAGACTGAGGTATATATAACCCTAAGCTCCTGTCCCACTTTCTACACATTTTAGTTACATTGCAACTCTAGATTGCAGAGCTCTCTCTTTTTGCTTGTGCTGACTTAAGCATCGGAGGCCCGACGCCGGAATTCCTCTCGGCATTGGGTTCTTGTAGGTCTCCCGAGGTGGTTCAGGCGGATCGGAGCTCTTCTCAACCAATTCTACCTAGATCCAGATTGTGACCCATCAACATGTAACATACATATATGTATTATTTTTTTCACTAAATACAAAACATTAAAACAACAAGAAATTTTCAAAATTGTCCAAGATGCTTCTCCACATTTACGGTATAGATATTGAGAAATAAGAAATCCATATCTTGTATTTTGTTGTGTTTGACTTCCTAATATAGTAATATATCAATTTTTTTATTTTTATTTTTTTTTTTGGATGCTTTCTTTACAAGTAATTGTTCAAATTGCGTACTCTCGCGCGGAACTTGAACCGCATCTTGCGCTAATAATTGCAAATTTTATTGAAATTTTCAAAATCCTCAACTTCTGTCCAATTTTTTTTTTCCTCAAAAAGGAAGTAAAACTCATCATGAATCATGGTAACAGTTACCAAATTATTTATAAAAAATAAAAATAAAAGAAGATTTTTTTTTTTTTTTTTTGGGTACAAAAAAAATAAAAGAAGTTAACAAAACGAAACTGCATGCATGAAACGTATATTAGTAGGGCTTATTAGTGAATGAATCCACATCTATTTCAAACGTGGGGAGATGATACGGTCCCGTTATGGAACAATTTCGTCGAGGTTTGTAACCGCTAGAGCCGACGGTTACATGATGATCTAACGGTTACAAATCCCGACGGAATGATTCCGTAACGGGACCGTAGTATTTTCCTCAAACTTGTGCCAGATTTGTTTAAGTGAATTACCAACTTGCAATATAGGTCATTAATAATCCAAAAGAATTTCAAGTTGAGTATGCTCTCGTACACTTGCAATTTTAATCGTCACTTATATATTCATGTGGATGGGTGTGGTGAAAGTCAACTTATGTCGAGGCAAAATAATTTTATATAGAAATTTAACTGCTTCAACACCACTATATAACAACCCCTTTTCCCATAACATTTTCATCACACTTCTCCTCAAACTTTCATAATACTTTAGCGTATTAATATTTTTTTGCACGTAAACAAAATGGCAAGCTCTATTGCTAAACTCGTGTGCGCGGTTCTGATTATGGGCCTTACCCTGCCTGGTACTTTGGCCACAGAATATGAGGTGTGTGATAGCGACGGTTGGGCCTTGGGTGTTAACGTCTTAGCATGGATTTCCACCAAGACCGTTCACGTTGGCGACGTCTTCAGTAAGTCGATGCATTGTTACAAATATATAAGAAAAAAATGTGTTTCACGTTTGTGTTTAATTTGATATATTACACATACATTATAGATATTGAATTGATGATGGTAATGTGATGATTAATTTTATATGGTAATGTAGATTTTCATTTCGTAAGTCCTCGAACGGTGGCCCTTGTGGATGCGGATGGGTTCTTGACGTGTGATGCTTCTCACGCAATTTACAACGATGCAAGTGGCTACGTCCGCCACACTTTCACTCAAACTGGCACTTATTACTTTATCTCTGCTGGGCTTTTGGACTGTGCTGCTGGCCTCAAATTGAAGGTCGTCGTTGTTTGAAGAAGAGCTGATTCAAACACTACATCGTACCACAGCTGGATTCATATATACGGAGCACACACGTACAAGTGTGTGTTTTCTATATGTTCAGTTGTAATAAGTAGTGTTATTTTATGTCTTTCATGTCCTTTTTAGTTTAATGTTGCGAATAAATGGACCGGCAGTGTTGTATGTTCTCTGCATGTTAGGGATCAACACACGTGTGGTTATTCATATGAACTTTTCTCGTTTGCTTTCGAGTAAGTAATGAATGTTGATGTTTTCCAATTAACTTTCCCGGTTCTTAAGGTTTTAATTCTAATATTGATGTTTTCATATGTTCAATTAATTCTCTAGTAAAATTCTATCAACAAAGGAGTCTATTTGGTTTCTTAAATTATAGATTTTCCTAATTATTATAAATCAAATATCTCCTCTTAGTCTCATTTATATCACAAGTATGCATACAGAGTGGAAATCTACTCATACAATAAGAATAAGCACGAGAAATTAATAATTAAAAAATAAACCAGAATGTAATGAATAAAAATTATATCATAAATCAATACGAGTATTAACAAATACCAGAATATTTTCAAAAAGAGAAAATTGCAATTTTAGTCCAGTAACTTAGGTTGTTTCCAATTTTAGTCCACTAATTTAGGTCGATTCAAATTTGGTCCAAAAACTTCCAAAAGTTAGTTAAATCAATCCAATTTCGGCCCTGTCGCCGAAATTGATTGGTTAATTTCAGTCCAATTTTAGTTCAATTGGACTGATTTAACTAACTTTTGGGAGTTTTTGGACCAAATTTGGATCGGCCTAAGTTAGTGGACTAAAATGGGAAACAACCTAAGTTACTGGACTAAAATTGCAATTTTCTCTAAAAAAAATTAGCCTGCGAACATTGTTTCAAAATCATAAAGATATGAAGGAAAAAAACACGAGCTCGATAATAAAAAAATAAGAAATAAAGAAAAAACTTGTTGTACTTCTTCAAATTCTTTCATAGCTTTTTTCGCTCATCTTGTGTGTGTGTGTTTTTCTAGCAAAGTGTCCAAAACTATGAAAACTCCCCATAAGCATTCCTTAATATTATTCAAATGGTTAGAGTTGAGTTCTAGTCGAAATACATCAAAAAAATCTGCCAAACAAACAGAAAAAATGCATTCGGGGCGCGCCCAAACTCACACATATCGTGTGTCATGACTCATGTGAAATTACAGAGACTACCGTTCAGGACCCTTCTATATAGACGTGATTCGTGTCAGCGCCACACAACTCGTGGTGGTCCAAAATAGCCTAGAAACTTAATTTTCAGCCACACGACATCCAGGTCATCGACTTCCAGTGGCTCTCTTTTAGCCAGCGTGACTGCTCCTCGTCGGCGGCAACATAGCGTATTCGACTCTCAACACTCTCTACTCTGTATATAAGGATTCCAGTTGTCGGTGCTCTGGTGACGAGCTGGAATCGAGGTGACATGATATCCAGAGCGTCCTAGTGGAAAATCTGGAAATGGTAGACGTGTTGTATTGTTCTTGTGAGGAAGGACATTCATGCTACACAATTACCAATGTGCCCTCACTTTAAATTCTACTTGGGCTTGTTATGTGGTATTTGATTTTTTTTTTTTTTTTGGTACAGGGACCTTCCGGTTTCTGGATTCACAGGGGAACCGACTAATCCGGAATCGAGTCGGGTAGGACCACAAGGGCGGCAAAGCTCTCCCTCAAGAGTTTTTAACGCTGCTGCATTCCCAGTGTTCGAGCACGAGACCACTGCTGTTATGTGGTATTTGATTTTTAATTACTGATTACACGACATTTCACTTTTTCTATTACACAATTGAATATTTTTTTGTAAATATTAGCAATATAACCGAAAATCTTGTTTTTATTCGCAGATGTATTAGAAAAGTTATTGTATCAATTATTGACTAAATTTACATTAATTACCTAAATTTACTGGAAATGTATCAGTTTCCAAAAATCAAATTCCTATTTTTATGGTAACAAAATCTCTCTCTCATATATAACTCATTAACCACCAATTAAGTAAATACATTACCTTGCAAACTCTAACCTTCAAGCAAAATAAATTATGGCAAAAAAACCAAATGTACTTCATTAAAACAAATGTATGTTTCACAACAGACTAATTTCATCTCTTTATAAAATGTATTTTTATGTCCAGTATTAGTGCTGTTAAATTAAACGAGTCTGGCTCGGCTCGGCTCGAGCTCGGCTCGTTAAGGCTCGGTTCGGCTCGAGTTCGAAGCCTTAACGAGCCGAGCTCGAGCTCATTTAAAGCTCGTTCGGTTAACGAGCCGAGCTCGGCTCAGCTCGATAAGGCTCGTTAAGGCTCGAAAAGTGAAATTTATGTAATTTTTTATAGTTCGGCTCGTTAAAACTCGAGATCGGCTCGAGCTCGAGGACTTAACGAACCGAGCTCGAGCTTGATTTTTGGCTCGTTTACTTAACGAGCCGGGCTCGGCTCGGCTCGTTAAGGGCTCGAGCTCGAGCTCAAGCACCTTAAGCTCGAGCTCGGCTCGGCTCGTTTACAACCCTACCAGTATATGATATGTTATGTATATGTTCAGTATATGTTATGTATAAGTTCACATCATGTTGTTGTCCTTTCAATTGTATGTTCTATGTTCAGTATATGCTAAGCATATCTTTTTTTTTTTTTTTTTATCAAACGATAGACTTTTCATAAAAAATACAAATTACACACTAGAGAGGAGCTAAACAACAAAATAAGTCACCTATTCAGCTGAATCTAGTTGGCAGGACTAACCCCAAAAGTAACAAAACGAGGTAGCCTAGAACCAACCTAAACACAACACACTAAACTCACCCACAATAACAAGAAGAAAGAACTCCCAATGAGAGAAAAATCTACTCCCAACAGCAAAATAAACGACTCCCAAAGAGATATATATATAAGATTATAAGTGTACTAGAGCATACTCAACTTGAAATAATTCTGCCTCGACATAAGTTGAATTATAAAATTATAAGTGTACTAGAGCATACTCAACTTGAAATAATTTTGGATTATTGACCTGTATTGCCAGGTGGTAATTAAATTAAACTAATCTGGTTTGACTTTCACCTTTGTACACAAGCCACAAAGGCAAATCGAGAAAGGTACTTTCATATAGAGCTGTTATCGAATCAAATTTAATCGAGCTTAAGGTTTTCGAGCTCGAGTTCGAGTAATTTTCGAACATGTTCATGTTCGCTCGTTTAGTAATGGAGCAAAAGTTTCCGTTCGTTTATTGGTTCGACACGTTCGTGTTCGTTAGTTTACATAGTCGAACTTGTTCGTGAGCTGTTCGAATTGTTCGACAAATTTGTGTTCTTGTTTGTTTACTTCTTTTCAATATTAATACATATGAGTTATTTTATTTAAGATTTAATATGTATCCTTATTTATATATTATTATATTATATAAAATTATAAAAAACATCTTTTTGTTCGCGAATGCTTAATTTGTTCGTGTTCGTTTGATAACTATACGAGCATAAATTCATATTGAAGCTCGGATCGATTACTAAACGAATGAGTTATCATCAAACACGAACAAGCTTTCTTCTCAAACCGTTTAACCGATAACAAACCTACTTATATCATGCATATTTGCAAGTAGTGCAAGATGCGGTTCAAGTTCCGCGGCTACGCACTTTCAACACACTTTAGAGGAAGCATTAAAAAAATGATATATTATGAAGTCAAACATA